ATCTGTTGGAAACATAGATTGTGCTTTGCTTCAAGGATAGCTTTACTGTCTTTAGTACTGCGACTTCCTTCTTTGGTACAAATACCAGATTTTAACTTGTTCTTCAACGGTTTCAATTCTCTTTCTCGATGCTTGCGTCTTGTCGCAACTCGATTTTTGTTTGTATTGGCAGAACTGCCACTCCTGCTTGAAGGCCATTCTCTTGGTCTCTTCGGAACTTGGGAAAGGTTCAGCCCTGACATTGTAGCTTGCGCATACGTTTGCCCAGATCAAGTGACTTTTGCTACTTGAGGCATTTCAGGCTCAAATACAATCTCTTCTTCTGGCGGTACTTGTAGATCCTCCAGATCAGTAACGAGGCTCCCAATACCATCGGTTCCTCTATCGACATTTTCTTGATGGTGATCCCAATCGGCCACAATAGGCTCTTCCTCTTCATCGCCTTCCTCACCTGAATTGTCGTCTGATTCATAGTCGTCATCTCCACGGAATCTGACAGTGAGTTCTGGCATATCATCAACATCATTGTCTGCATCTGCCAAGAGCTCTTCTCTTTCCGAGTCATCAATATCATCAAATTGTCCACGTAGATTGAAATCACGTTCATCTTCATCTTCAGGTTCATAGTCCGATCAAAGGCTTCTTCTAAGTAACCTTGTTCCGTGTTGTAATGGTGAGCTTATGCATGGACTCCGTCATGCTGAGAAAGAACTTGGCATGCACACTAACGTGGGCAGCAGAGTTCTCGACAAAGAAGGTTTTCTAGGAAGATTTCCACCTCCAGTTTATCACGATGAAGACGGAATTGCCAATGTACTTGCTATGCGCGAGATGATTGCTGCGGGATACCGCATTACTATGGATACTGATGCTGACAATGCTTTTATTGTGCATTGTGATGGAAACCAAAAGATGCAATTTGTAAATCGTAAGGGTGTGTATGTGTTGGAGCAACTTGGAATCAAGAAAATGTTGATAGAGGAACCGATGGTATTGGGAGCCTTGTTACTGATCTGGAGGATCTACAAGAACCGCCAGAAGAAGAGATTGTATTTGAGCCTGAAATGCCTCAAGTAGTCAAAGTCACTTGATCTGGGCAAACGTATGCGCAAGCTACAATTGTTGTGAAAGTGTTGTACAATTGATTACAAATTTAGATTGCAGAGAGTTTCTTCTGAGCGCTAAAGGCACTCACGATAGACCACATTTTGCTTTATTCTAACATTCAATCACAAAAGTAAGTTCAACGATTTTCCCTTGGAAAATCCCTTGTTTGCAGAACTTGATTTGACCTCTACGACAATTCTGTGTTGGATGCAGTACTTTGGGACATCTTGTATTATTCCCTACTGCATTGTACACAACATTGACATCTCACTTGTATAGGGTCATTCCCTTTTTCTGTGGATGTAGATTGTCCGACAGACTTGCGTCCGGCATACTTGCGTCGAATGCCAACATCACAATCAAAGTCCGATTGTACGTGTCCAAAACTTTGTACTTGAATAGTTTCTTTTTGGAACATAAAAACTCATATTTCGTCATATCTCAACACCTACAAATGAACAAAGATAACGCCAAACCGGGCGCTGTGTCTGACCTGGATTACATGTTCAACTACGGTACAAACACTGGCCAACGTGATCTGCATCAGCAGGTCGAATCAAGTATTATCGAAGGACACACTTGCTTGCTTGATACTGAAGCGCAATGTAACCTTGATAGTTTGTCCGAGCTTGTGAAGCTTGGACTCCGTGTCGTTATGGACACTGATATTGAAAACTCCTTCATCGTTACGAAGGGGGAACAACAAATGAGGTATGTACATCGAAACGGATTGTATACTTTCGTGCCTGATGGTAGGGCAGAGAGTGATGAAGGATCCGAATACTCTGAATGTGAATACAGAGAATGCGGCAATTGTGACTGCGACGTGATTGGTGTCGCACACACTGAATGCCATAAATGTGGTGTTATTTTCTGTGGTAGAATTTTAAAAATTAGCTATTCCGATTCCGATTATTGTGGCATACAGACGATAAGGAAGAATATCAAAGGCTTCACTGATAAACAAGTTGAGTGGGCTAATCGCGCACAATCAGTGTATCATATGGCTGGTGCACCAGGCGTGCAAGCGTTTTGTATTGCAGTAAGATCTGGTTTCTTCAAGAACTGTGATGTGAACGAAGAAGATGCAATCATTGCTGAAAAGATATATGGACCTGGTTCTTTGGTCCTAAAAGGAAAGACAAAGCGTCCCACACCTGAAGGAGTGCGGGATGACTGGATAGAAATACCAAAGGAGTTATTAATGCACAATCTGAGTGTTGTGCTGCACATTGATCTTGTTTTTGTTAACAATTCATTTGGACTCACGACCATTGATGGGAGTGTGAGATACTGGTGCTACATACCCTTGGCTTCACAATCCAAAACGGCATTGTATGACGCAATCGATAAATGCTTTTGACTATATAATGCACGTGATTTCACAGTGGAAAAGATTTACTGTGATGGGGAGTTCCGTCCGGTATTTGAGTCCGTGAAAGACGAACTTGAATTTCATATGAATTACGCCAGCAGAGGCGAATATGATCCAAAAGCGGAACGAATTAATCAACATTTAAAGGCACTGTTTCGGGTTCACTTTCCCTGAATGCCATTCAAGGCGATTCCAAAGAAGTTAACTGTGGCACTTATGACAAGAGTCGCAAAAATATCCAACTACTATCCGGCAAAAGGTGGGTTGTCTGCATACTACAGCCCGCATATGATTATGCATCAACGAATGGTTGATGCCTCTAAAGAATTTGTCGCTGAGATTGGTGCATATGTCCATGGATATGGCCATGACACCAAGAATAATATGGCTGCTCGAACGATCAAAGGTGTTTACATGGGACCCACCGACGATATTCAAGAAGGACACCGTATCTATGATCTGAACATAAAGTGCAAGGCACGACATGCAAAAATCAAGGTTCTTCCGATGACTGACCAAGTCATCAAGATTATAGAAGAAGACGCAAGATTGGAAGGAGTGACGGAATTATGCACCTATTCCAAGCGTAATGGCGAGCTAATCCTCGATGGTGATTTGCTCGAAGGAGTGGACCCAGATGAACTGTGGGATGAAAACTACGTACCAGTAAACAAAATTGAAAGACTGAGTGATGTAACCCTCCAAAATGAAAATATTCCAGATGACAAACTTGATGATTTACTAATGGATGCTGAAGCAGAAATCATGGAAGCGAGGTTCAACAGGGATAGAAACCCAAGATACGATAGCGAGGCGAATCAATATGAAGATGAGCTAGAGGACAAAATGTTTGACAGAATGTTCAAGAAGATTAAGGCTAAACAAGATGCTGAAGATCTGATGGACAAAGACTACCAAGAACACGAATGGATAACTGCCAATGAGGACATGGACTATGAAGACAAATACAAGTCTGAACTAGGCGATGAAGAAACCAAGCAAATGTTAGACAAACTGGCAGCTGAGTTAGTGGAACTTGGAAAACCAGAAGAAGAAGTTCTGTTCGAATTTGATGACGACACACAAGAAGATGTGGCAGTTGAATCAGAAGAGGAAAATGGTGTCGCTCGCGCAGGAGTGAGATTTGCGGACACAGATGATAATGAGTCCAACACCGAAGGAATTGTGAGAAGCTACAGTGACGACGGTGTCAAAGTTGGAGCGAAACGGGTACTTCGCCCAAGACACAATCGATCCTACTTCTCACAAGGGGTAAAAATGAGACCCACTGAGAGATACAGAAGAGAGAAATCAAGATTTGGACAGGCATACCTGCAAAGAAGGAATCCGCCTGTGCCAAACGTTTTGAGAAACAGGCGTGCGATGAGAAGAAAAGCACGAATGAAAAGACTTCAAGTCTTGCTGTATCAAGCAATTAAGAAACGAATTGACACGCGAAGAAATGGAGCACAGTTGCAAAGGAACCATAAGTACGAGCGTTCCATCCAAGAACGCATGCACAATTTGGCATTCCAACAAGTCAGGAACACAAATAAAGGCGAATATGACGCTGACAAAGCGTTGGTAGTCGCTCGTGTTATTTAACAAATATGTGAGGGTGTCAACGGTGGTATCAATGGGCAAGACGGAGTCTCGTTCATTCAGCAATACTATCTGAATAAAGGACTGAAGATATTCAAGGAGCGAGGTAAAGGCGCGGCCATGAAAGAACTTGACCAACTGATCAAGCGCAGTTGCTGGACACCGATCAGTATTGAGAAACTAGGACCGACCGAAAGAAGGCCGTAGATGCAATGATGCTACTGGCCGAAAAGAATGATGGCGTGACAATCAAAGGACGCTGTGTATTCAAAGGAAACGAGACCTGGGATTGGTTGTCTCGTGAGGACACTGCAAGTCCCAGAGCTTTGCATGAAGCTATTATCTGCACGGGTGTAATTGATGCCCACAAAGGTAGAAACGTCATGTCAATGGATATACCTAACGCGTATATCCAAACATTGATGCCCAAGCAGGAAGAAGGAGAAGATCGAGTAATAATGAAAATTACTGGACTGCTGGTTGACTACATGATTGACCTAGATCCGACGTATCCGGATTTTGTAGTAATCGAAAATGGATGTCGTTGTGATCCTCCGTGCTATTTATGGGATGTTACAGGCTTCGTTGCTATGGTACCAAAATCTGAGGGCATCGCTGGAAGAATACGGATTCGTGTTTAATGTATATGATCCGTGCATTGCAAATATGACGGTCAACAAAAAGCAATTGACTATCAGGTTTCATGATGATGATGTGCTAGCAAGCCACATGGAACAAAGAGTTCTCGAGGATTTCTTTACATGGATAAATGAGGGATACGGAGGACTAAAGGAAGTGACTTGCACACGGGGACGAGTTCACACCTATCTGGGAATGACATTGGATTATTCAAAGAAAGGAAAGCTGAAGATTCGAATGGACGATTATGTTCAAAGAATGCTTGACGAGTTTTCTGTGAAGTTTAAAGAGGATGACAAACAGGAAACACCTGCTGGCAATAATTTGCTGGAGGTAGGAAAAGGAAAACTATTGGATAAAGATGAACAGACCGAGTTTCACAGGTTTGTTGCAAAACATTTGTTTTTGACCAAACGCGCGCGTCTGGATATGCATCCGACGGTTGCAATTTTGGCATCACGAGTTCAAAATCCAAATCAGAGTGATTGGCATAAACTCGTGAGACTTATGAGATACATACACTCTACCAGAAATGGCATCTCACACTGAGTGCTGACAACCTTTGTGTAATGAAGTGGTATGTTGATGCGTCTTTTGCGGTTCACCCTGACTTCAAGAGTCACACAGGAGGAGTGATAACCATGGGTGTTGGAGCTATGCAGGCTATGTCCAAGAAACAGAAGCTAAACAGCCGCAGCAGTACACATGCGGAACTAATTGGAGTAGATGATGCAATCACACAAGTGTTGTGGACACGCATGTTCATGGAAGAACAGGGTTATCCAATTGAGAAGAATATCTTGTACCAAGACAATATGAGCTCTATTCTCCTCAAAAAGAACGAAAGATCAAGTGCAGGAAAGCAAAGCCGCGCATTGAACATCCGTTATTTCTTTGTCACTGATCAGGTTGAGAAAGGAAATCTTACAATCAAACGCATGCCGACCGATGACATGTGGGGGGATTATATGACAAAACCTTTGCAAGGGGAAAAGTTCCGCAAATTTCGGGCATTGATCCAAGGGGATCAGGAAGATAGATATAACCGTCTTGGGTTATATATACACGTTACATATTAAAAGAAGAAAGGATTCGTTATCGCAACTGGAGTCGTTGAAACAACAGGAGTGTGTTGGTGAAATGGGATCTTAATAGGTAAAAGAACAGTCAAACATGTCGGACAGTGAAGTCGGACATTTGTGATATCAAACACGGACAGAAGTACGGTTCAAGTACGTACAGAGATGGATAAGTATTGAAGGTAGATCTACTCTGTGACTAGTTTGTGAAGAACATGTGCGTATGTGCTTTATATGCCACGGCAGCTGGTAAGAGCTGACACAGACGGCTTCCGGAAGATTTTTTGTACCTGCTTGTGGAGATCATTGTTGATCAACTTCTGGCAAGAATAGCAGTAGAATAAGATCTAATAGGAAGTGGTGAGACTGTTCATCCGCAGGTTGAAGACCAGCATCACTGGCACCTGTTCCTATTGTAGGCAATCCATAGCCAACGTAGATTTGAGCTCAGTATAATCCAGAGGTAGCTAGAGCATTGAGGCTCTCATTACAGCTACGGAGTTGATTATCTGACATCCTCTCCAACCCTTTCCGGTATTGCTCTATGTCTCAAGCCAAGACTTGGTTGATTGGCGATAAAACATCGCGGATGAAGATCATGGGGGGTAGAACTGAACAGTCTGGGGGATATTTTTGTAGGACTTCCAGAAACTATGAGAAGCCACCAAAACGATGAGAAGCCACCAAAACAAGAAATAACTCACATTGCAAAGCGAGTAATTTTTATCGGAACAAGTATTTTTTACTCGGAACTAGTAATTTTTATTTGGAACGAGTAATTTTATAGAAGTAATGAGTCGCGACCTGAAAGCAGTTTTTTCATCATTATGTCAGTTGTGCCTTCAAATAAATTATTAATGACTAAAGATTTAACGGTCCGTCCGCCGCTCTAGAAGCCCATTTCATACTATTTTGGTGGGAGACCCAGGTTCTAAAATCACCCACAGACCTAAAATAAAAATTTCTTCATACAAAAGTCTTAGCTTAGGTCCTTATCTTGCATCCTATTGGGTGGGGATGTCATCATTATGCTCAGGGAAGTCACTGTAGCTCTAAAAGTTGCCACTCTAGGACTGTTGTGGACTGAAATTGAAGATTTGCAATTTACAAAATGTGCCTGAAATTCATCAAAGAATGCTACAATCCAGCTACTCATTGCAACTCAGATTGCATGTGAGTAATTTCAGGTCACCCTGTACCCAAAAGGCACCAAAACAACCAATGATCTGAATTGCTGTCCAAAGCATCAATTGTCTTCTTGACTGCAGTTAATGTCTAGAGCATAATCATAATGGCCCCACCCAATAGGATGTAAGATAAGGACCTAAGCTAAGACTTTTGTATGGAGAAAAATTTTATTTTACGTCTGTGGGTGATTTTAGAACCTGGGTCTTCCGCCATAATATGTTAGAATAAAGCAAAATGTGCTCTATTGTGAGTGCCTTTAGCGCTCAGAACAAACTCTCTGCAATCTAAATTTGTAATCGATTGTACAACACTTTCACAACAATAGTTCTCCTGTGTCTAGGTATACTTTGAGTGAAATTGTTCCTATTTGATT